AAAAAAAAAAAAAAAAAAAAAAAAAAAAAAAAAATCTGAAAAACTTCTAAAAAAAAATAACCCACCGTAATATTTTCCTCACAACTTTTCATAGTTGAAAAAAGGGTATTTTGGGTTGAAAATAGATTTGAACAAAACCAGTTCAGCCAGCTTGGCTCAGAAGTCATAGACTATCAGGGTTGGAAGGGACCTCAGGAGGTCATCTAGTCCCACCCGCTGCTCAAAGCAGGACCAATCCCCAGACAGATTTTTATCCCCATTCCCTAAGTGGCCCCCTCAAGGATTGAACTCACAACCCTGGGTTTAGCAGGCCAAGGCTCAAACCACTGAGCTATCCCTCCCCCCCCGGTGATTTGCTTTGCAAGGTAGCTGAACCCCAGGCTGGGAAAGGCCAGTGGCTGGATGGCCTGATGGCTAAGGCCCTGGATGAGGACTCAAAAGATGTGGAGTCAATTCCCTACTCCGACATAGACTCCCGGTGTGACCTTGGTCAAGTTACTTTGTGCCTCAGTTTCCCACCCGTACAATGGGGATTATCCTGGCTTGTGAGGCTGAGCTGACTAGCATCTCTGAGGTGCTCATGTACTAGGGTGACTCGTTGCCAACGCGCATGGCGCGGGCTGCGGAGCTGATATCACCTGACTGAATAGAAGAGGGACTTTGGTGTGGGAATGACGTTAAACGGCACAGGCAGCGTCAGGCCCTCCCTGAAGTAGGACAGGTAGAGCTTGGAGCGGGCGAACTTCCACTCCACGTCCGCATCGTCCTGCAAAGCAAAGGGAGGGGAAGCAGGTTGTGATCTACGCTGGGACCAATCCCGCCTCCTGCGTTGGGCGGCCATCAGAGACCTTTGAGGCCGTTTGTGATCTTCCCACCCGCCCTCTAGAAGCCCCACGGTCGCCCCCATTCCCTCAGAGCACGGCCAGCTGGTCTCACGACCTGCCCCCTCCCCCCGCACTTTGGTGCCATATAACGGGTGAAATGGTTTTGAACGGCATCGGCACATGCAGAAGAGAGGGACAATTCTATCACCGGGGAGAGCCGTGGGGCTGAGGCTCTGGGACGGAGCCGGCTCAGTTCCTGGGCACTGGCTGCGAATCTCATCGAGATCACAGGTATGGCGCTAGCTGGTGCAATGCCTGGGCATCCCCAGCTGGTGGGTGGGGCCTGATCCGCTTAAGGATGCACCCAGGGACCCTTCCCCAGCATGCGCCAGCCATTGTTCTGCAACTGGGCTGGGCAGCAGTGGGCTTACTCGGCGACGGTGACAGGAAAGTACTCTCAAGCCAAAGGACACATGCTAGGCCCAGTGGGGAAGCTGGCTCTGCTGCAAGAGCTGTGTCCAGTGCAGGGTCGTCAGCAGAGGGACTCGTACTGACCTGCTGCACAGAGGTGAATTTCACCCTTGTACACGAAGGGTCCCCAGTGCATGTGTGAGGGAGATATGCAGCCACTTCTGGGGTGGGGCACCAGACAGGGCACAGCAATACTATACACAACAGGATTAAATGCAGCCACTTCTGGGGTGGGGCACCACAGCCCTCTCGACAGCGCACAGCAATACGACAAACAACAGGGATTGTATTTTGATGGGGGCTTGGGGGAGGACGAAGGAGGGAGATTTAGGGGAAGCAGAGTGGAATTGCTGGCTATTTTAACAGGGCAGGGAGTGCCAGGGAGAAGAGAAGCTGCGTAAGAGGAGGCCCATTCACCACGGGGTCACTCTGCTCCAGGGCAGGGCCTGGGGCCCGGCCGCACTCCGGCGGGGCTCCCAGCGGCCCTCACCTCGATTTTCTGGAAGGAGTTGGTGATCATGGCGATGAGCATGTTGAGAAGGACGATGACCATGACGATGGTGAAGATCCCGTAGAGCGCCCGCCCCACGAACTCCGCCAGGCCGTACTGGGGCATATCCACCACACTGTACTCCTCCATCCCGAACATGGTCCAGAACAGGAACTGAAACGTCTCGTTGAAGCTGACAGAGAGGGGGCGGCAAAGAGCGGGGCCTGGTTACAAGCCGGGCGCGCCCCACCCTAACAAGTGTGCAAGACAGCCCCGATCCTGACCCCACTGACAGCAGCAGCTGCTCCCCAGGTGAGGCAGGATTGGCCTGTGGGTCCACTAGATCTTCCTGGGCGAGTCCTGACTCCTATAGGACCCTTCAGGAGGCACCTGCCAGCACCCACCTGGGCCCCTAGCAAGGTTTGCTTGAGATGCAACCTATATTTTCACCCCATTATTCCTCGTTAAATCCCCACCAGCACCCCACGCAACACCACTCCCTCCTGAAGTGCCCGGACATCCCAAACACTTGATCACATCCCCTCGGAGTCCTCATCACTGTCTTCAGCTCCTTTCACTCTCCCCACAGGCCTCCCAATTCCACCACAGGCTCCATCCACAGAGCACCGCAAAGTGCTGCCCCTCGGCTCCCCGCTCACGCTACAACCCCCGTTCACGTCGCTGGCATGTGCCCAGAGGCCAGGGATCGCCTGGATCAGGCAGGGGCCTTTGACCCTTTCTCTCAGCCTCAGGCATCGCTATGCAAAGCATCAGGCTCAGCTCAGCCCTGCCCTGAGCCGGGAGGCCCTGGGAGAGCCCTGGCTGGCACAAGGACGTACTTCCCCAGCCGCTGGGACTCCTGGTAGTAAACGTAGGTGTTGTTGAGTCCGCACAGGAACGCGGTGAGAATGATCATGAGGATGAACATGAACCTGTGGGGGGGGAAAAAGCGCAGAGAGGAGATCAGAGAGGCAGGGAGTCGCGGGGCCTGACCTGGAGGACCCTAGTCTGATAAGCCCTGTTCAGAGTGGAGATGTGCCCAGCGCACAAACCCACCACTGCCTCCCCCCAGCACTGGCACAGTCTCAGCCAGCCAATTACCCCTCTCCTCCTTTGGTACGTTGACGCTATATAGACACTGTGCCAGCATATATAAGAACAGTCCTATTCTAGCCCAGTATCCTGTCTTCCGACAGTGACCAATGCCAGGTGCCCCAGAAGGAATGAACAGAACAGGTAATCATCAAGTGATCATCCCCTGCCACCCATTCCCAGCTTCTGGCAAACAGAGGCTAGGGACACCATCCCTACCCATCCTGGCTAATAGACATTGATGGACCTATCCTCCATAAATTTATCTAGTTCTTTTTTGAACCTTGTTATAGTCTTGGCCTTCACAATTGTTAGAGGGCTTTCCCTTCACCCCCTCCCCTGGTTCTTGTCACGCAGACAGAAAGCAGAAGACCAGAAGTCCGAAGTGCAGGCAATGTGATGTTTATTGGGGTTAGTTCCAAGCAAACATGTCCACAGCTCTACACGCCGGCAGAGTCTGTTCCCCAGTGTTCCGTTCCCAGCTCTGACACCGCAGAGCATTTACCCAGTGTCCTCCTTCCCAGCTCTGATGCCAGAGAACCTTGTCTGTGTCCCCGGTTCCCATTTGCCCCATTCCCTATTCCCATTCTCATTTCCCCTTCCCCATTCCCCTGTTCCCACCTCCTCCTTCTTAGCAGGCCCAACTATACCTGCCATGCACACCCACAGTCTCACCCCTTGCAACTTAGGGTCATGTTCCATTTTGGGTCTGGGGTCTTCGTCCCACCCCTTTTGTACCCCATGGGAGGGGTAAGGAGTGAGGTTGTGCTGTGGTCAGGGATGGGCATTTCTTTGGTCTTCTAGTGTTTTATACCTCCCCGCCCCAAAGCCCCTTTGCCCCTCCCGACTGGTTGCTTGACTTTGCCTTGAGATAGGGGTTGAGGCAATCTTAAAGCGTGCTCTCAAGTAACACTTTAACTGCTCATATCTATTCCCGTTGTACTAACAAATCCAGCTGACTAGGCAGAAGTACCACTATAGTGTCTTTGTCCCTTGTTTACACATTTTAGTATAAGAGTATCAAAAAGTCAAACCCAAAATTCTATCCCCGGCTAACAAACAGACCTATATACTAACAACAACATCCCCTGGCAAGGAGTTCCACAGGTTGACTGCGTTGTGTGAAGAAATACTTCCTTCTATTTGTTTTAAACGTGCTGCCTATTAATTTCATGTGGTGACCCCTAGTTCTTGTGTTATAAGAAGGAGTAAATAACACTTCCTTATTTACTTTCTCCACACCAGTCATGATTTTATAGACCTCTATCATAACCCACCCCCTAGTCCTTTTTCCAAGCTGAAAAGTCCCAGTCTTATTAATCTCTCCTCATACGGCAGCTGTTCCATACCCCGAATCATTTTTGTTGCCTTTTTCTGAACCATTTCCAATTCCAATATTGCTTTTTTGAGATGGGGTGACCACATCTGCACGCAGTATTCAAGATGTGGGTGTACCATGGATTTATATTAGGGCTGTCAAGCGATTAAAAAAATTGATTGTAATTAATCATGCGATTAAAAAAATAAATCGCAATTAATCATGCTATTAATTGCGCAGTTAAACAATAATAGAATACCATTTATTTAAATATTTTGGATGTTTTCTACATTTTCAAATATATTGATTTCAATTATAACACAGAATACAAAGTGTACAGTGTTCACTTTATATTTATTTTTATTGCAAATATTTGCACTGTAATAAACAAAAGAAATAGTATCTTTCAATTCACCTAATACAAGTACTGTAGTGCAATCTCTTTGTCGGAACAGTTGAACTTACAAACGTAGAATTATGTACATTCAAAAATAAAACAATGTAAAAGAAGCGGGCAGCATTATCTTCTGCAAATGTAAACAAACTTGTTTATCTGAGCGATTGGCTGAACAAGAAGTAGGACTGAGTGGACTTGTAGGATCTTAAGTTTTACCTTGGTTTGTTTTTGAGTGCAGCTATTTAACAAAAAACCCTACATTTGTAACTTGCACTTTCACGATAAAGAGATTGCATGACAGTACTCGTATAAGGTGAATTGAAAAATACTATTTCTTTTGTTTTTTATAGTGCAAATATTTGTAATAAAAAATAATATAAAGTGAGCAGTGTACATTTTGTATTCTGTGTTGTAATTGAAATCGATATATTTGCAAATGTAGAAAAACATTCACAAATATTTAATAAATTTTCAAAAAGAACAGGAGTACTTGTGGCACCTTAGAGGCTAACAAATTTATTTGAGCATAAGCTTTCGTGGGCTACAGCTCACTTCATCGGATGCATAGAATGGAACACACAGAAAGAAGATATTTATACATACAGAGAACATGGAAAGGTGGAAGTAGCCAGACCAACTGTAAGAGGCCAATCAATTGAGATGAGCTATCATCAGCAGGAGAAAAAAAAAACAAAACCTTTGAAGTGATAATCGAGATGACCCATAGAAGGTGTGAGGATACTGGCTCTGTCAATCTGTCAAGCCAGAAGGGTACCCAGAAGTCACCTACTACAGGACAGGTCCAATAAAGAAAATAACAGAACGCCACTAGCCACCTTCAGCCCCCAACTAAAACCATTCCAGCGCATCATCAAAGAACTACAACCTATCCTGAAAGATGATCCCTCACTCTCACAGATCTTGGGAGACAGACGAGCCCTTGCTTACAGACAGCCCCCCAACCTGAAGCAAATACTCACCAGCAACCACACACCATACAACATAAACACTAACCCAGGAACCTATCCTTGCAGCAAAGCCCGATGCCAACTCTGTCCACATATCTATTCAAGTGACACCATCATAGGACCTAATGACATCAGCCACGCCATCAGGGGCTCGTTCACCTGCACATCTACCAATGTGATATATGCCATCATGTGCCAGCAATGCCCCTCTGCCATGTACATTGGTCACACCGGACAGTCTCTACGCAAAAGAATAAATGGACACCAATCTGACATCAGGAATCATAACATTCAAAAACCAGTGGGAGAACACTTCAACCTCTCTAACCACTCAGTGACAGACTTGATGGTGGCAATTTTGCAACAACAAAAACTTCAAAAACAGACTCCAAAGAGAGACTGCTGAACTTGAATTAATATGCAAATTAGATACAATTAACTTAGGTTTGAACAGAGACTGGGAATGGTTGGGTCATTACACTAATTGAATCTATTTCCCCATGTTAAGTATCCTCACACCTTCTATGGGTCATCTCGATTATCACTTCAAATATGGGGGTTTTTTTGTTTGTTTCTCTCCTGCTGATGATAGCTCATCTCAATTGATTGGCCTCTTACAGTTGGTATGCGTACTTCCACCTTTTCATATTCTCTGTATGTATAAATATCTTCTTGCTGAATGTTCCAGTCTATGCATCCGATGAAGTGGGCTGTAGCCCACAAAAGCTTATGCTCAAATAAATTTGTTAGTCTCTAAGGTGCACAAGTACTCCTGTTCTTTTTGCGGATACAGACTAACACGGCTACTCTGAAACCTAATAAATTTCAATGGGTATTCTATTGTTTAACGGTGCGATTAATCGCGATTAAGTTTTTTAATCACGATTAAGTTTTTTGAGTTAATCGCGTGATTTAACTGCGATTGATTGACAGCCCTAATTTATATAGAGATACTATGATATTTTCTGTCCTATTATCTATCCCTTTCTTAATGATTCCCAACATTCTGTTTGCGTTTTTGACTGCCGCCGTACACTGAGCGGATGTTTTCAGAGAACTGTTCACAATGACTCCAAGATCTCTCTCTTGAGTGGGAACAGCTAAGTTAGACCCCTACGCCACCGCGGCTCTGCCCGCATAACCCCATCGTGAGATGAGGCTGTCAGCCACGGAAGGGGTTTTCCCTCGCCGTAGGAACACTGCCGCCCCGAGCGTTCTTCCCTGGACCTAGCTGGACCTGTGCCTGGGGGTAGGCTGGCACAGGGGTCTCGGTCAGGGGGGTGGTTTTTTCACACCCTGGCTCTGATGTAGCTACGGCAACCTAAATATAGACCAAGCCATGGACGTGGATCCACAGGGATGGGGCTAAGGCATCCTGCCAGGGCAACATGGGGCAACATGCAAGGTAGCTGCCAGTGGATAATACGGGGTGCCAGCCCCCCAGGCTGCCCAGCAGCTCATTCCCCAAGGTGGGGGGGGGAGGGTAGAAGGGATTCAGCCCCTACCGGATCATGTCGTCGATCATCTTCCCGATGGAGATCTGCAGGGTGCCCAGGGACTCATGGGCGGGGAGGATGTAGGCCAGGCGGGTGAAGCTCAGCATGCTGGTCACCGCAAACAGCACCTCAGCGACGAACTGGGGGTCTTCGGGCTGCCACTCGTGCCGACCTGCACACGGGGAGAGGAACCTCAGAGACACGGGGCCGGAAGGCGGGGGCGGGGGGGGGGCCTTCGTCGTGTGGCCTACTGGATAGGGCGCTGGGACTGAGGGTTATTCCTGGCTCCGTCACTGGCCTGCTGGGTGAGTCCCTGTCCCACCCCGTGCCTCAGTTTCCCCATTGGTAAAATGAGGATAATGACACAGACTTGCCATATAAAAGTGCCTATAATTGTCATTCCAGAGTCACAGCCATGCTCCAGTTAGCTCCCAAAAAGCAAACGCTGCCCCCAGGGCAGGCTCCTCAACCCTCCCTCCTCCATCAGTGCTTCACCAGCAAGAAACAATCACAACTACCAAGGCCCGGCTCTCACCACTTTATGCCGGATTCCCACAACCAGAACACTGCAAATTCGCTCCCTGCAGAACAGCCTGACGCTGACCCCTGCTGGTGGCAGGGGAGAATTTCCTGGTTCATTTGAGCCGCCAGTATTTTAATTTACTGTATTATAACGATCATGTTTTCTTTCATTAATGTTGCTTCTCTGCTAACATCAGTAAATACGGGGAGGTGATGTGTTCTCAGAGCACCACTTGGGCAGGGAATTGACGGATTCCCAGCTTGTGAGGCCAGAGAGATCTGAGTCTGATCACCCAGCTACCACAGGCCAGAGACTCTCACCTACTGATCCCTTCACATCCAGCCAGTGACTTGCGGCTGAACGTGCTCCATGGGGTCTGGAAGGCTCCGGAGGGAGGAAAAGGTCCAGCCGTGAGCTGGAAAGGGAAATCTTTCAAAGCAGGGTGTGCAGAGGTTGTACAGAGGGGATGGGACGGCTCAGGGGGGAGGGGGGCTGGGGAAATGATCCAAAGCCGGTCACAAAGCCACTGTCCCTGCCAGCACTGACAGGCCTCCTTGTTGGTAAGAGGCCAAGGAGCAAATAGGCCAGAGAGCGCTCCTCTCCCCTGGAGAGAGGTGTCTCTGCAGGGCAAGGCCGAGGCCCATCAGTGGGGCAGGGTGGGGTGAAGCAGGGCCAGGCAGTACCCATTCTGGGGATGAATGTGTAGCACTAGACACGCCGAGCAGGAGGAGCAAGGCCAGGCCAGCGGCTGGAGGGGGCGAAAGGAGGCCGAGATCAAAGCCGGGGCGTCCCGACCGCGGCTGCTCACCGGCTCTGGTGAAGTAGTAGCACTCCGGCGAGGAAGGGGCGTCCAGGCAGTGCAGGTGGCCCCTCCCGGCGACCAGCACCCGCAGCGCGAAGGAGGCCAGGTACAGGCTGAGGATGACGATGTCCAGGCAGTTCCACAAATCCAGGAGGTAGCTGTGCAGCCCCTCGATCCACACCTCCTTGCACTCGTACCAGAAGAAGCCTGCCGGGGTGGGGCGAAGCATGAGCCCCAAGCCCCCTCGGGCTGACGCCTCCCCAGGGGGCGGGTTGGATTCAGCCTCTGGGCAGAGCTTCCCCCTCTGCAAATCGGGGGGGGAGTGGGAATCATAGATTCATAGATCATCGAGAGGTCATCAAGTCCAGTCCCCTGCCCTCATGGCAGGACCAAATACTGTCTAGACCATCCCTGATAGACATTTATCTAACCTACTCTTAAATATCTCCAGAGATGGAGATTCCACAACCTCCCTAGGCAATTTATTCCAGTGTTTAACCACCCTGACAGTTAGGAACTTTTTCCTAATGTCCAACCTAAACCTCCCTTGCTGCAGTTTAAGCCCATTGCTTCTTGTTCTATCCTTAGAGGCTAAGATGAACAAGTTTTCTCCCTCCTCCTTATGACACCCTTTTAGATACCTTCATCCTTCCTTCTTCCCCCTCTTGTCTGCCTTGCCTCTCTGCCCCATCAGCTCCCCCGTGCAGGGTGTTCGTACAGCACCCGGCACAGCAGGGTCCTGATCGCAGCTGGGGCCTCCTGCCAAAAAAGTCACAACGACTCCTAGCGATACCCCCGTATGCCCCCCTAAATTCTCTTCCCCCCCCCCAGGGGATTCACACCCTGGAGAGATCTGCAGGCTGCTCCCAGGCCCTAGACTGACCCAGCGCCCAGCCTTGCCCCCATGGGGCGGGTTTCACCATTGACTGCAACTGATGCAGCATCCGGCCCTTAGTTCTCTTACCTCTTCCCCACGGATCGGGGACTCCAGCCCTTTCATCCCCATCGCTGCTCTTCTCGGGATCCCCTCCCGCCGCCTGCATCCAGCAGCCCCTGGGGCACCGGGCTTAAACAGAAACAACCCCGGGAGCACGGAGCCTGCGGCAGGCGATCGCTGCTGGTGCTCACGGGAGGAGTCTGACCCTAGGGGCTCAGCTCAGCCGATTCCAATGGGAGAGTGTGGCTCCCCTCGGAGCTAATTGATTATCGCATCGTACCAGAGCCAGGGAAACCATCACCCAACTCACTCCTGCCGAGCCAGCTCCACCCAGCTGTTCTCTCTTCCCCAGAGCCCTGGGGCCCGGCATGGTCAGACAGTGTTGCCTGCTGGAGGCTAATTTCTCTCCCCACGTCTGTCTGCCCTGAAACCTCCTGTCTACGTCGGAGCTGAGAAGACTTAGGGACACAAAGCCCCTCGGGGGGCTGGATTTGGGACTGCAGATTATTAACAGCTGCTGCCTCTGCGCTGGCTTCAGCGCGGGCAGTGAGAGGTCTCGGTCCAGCTCCAGACGGGCGCGTGTCCCTCTAGGAACCGCCACCAGGCCCCGTGCTGGCCGTCTCAGCAGAGGCGGCAAGAATTCAATCAGCCCTGGAGAGGGAACCCCCACTTCACGCCTCTCGACCCGGCCCCCGCTGCTACGCATTGGGATTGGGGGGGGGAGACTGTGCCCAGAGGGATTCAGAGGTGGAGGGGCTGCACCCAGAAGGATTTAGGAAGGCAGGGGGGCTGTGCCCAGAGAGATGGGGGGGCTGTGCCCAGAGGGATTCGGAGGTCAGGAGGGCTGCGCCCAGAGGGATTGGGGGGCAAGGGGGTGGCACCCAGAGGGATTCAGAGGCAGGGGGGCTGCGCCCAGAGGGATTGGGGGGGGCTGTGCCCAGAGGGATTCAGAGGCGGGGGGGCTGTGCCCAGAGGGATTCGGGGAGGCAGGGGGGCTGTGCCCAGGGGGATTGGGGGGCAGGGGGGACTGTGCCCAGAGGGTGGGATTCCCTGGGGTGCAGACAGTTGACACAGGGCCTAGGCATCCTACTTAAGACAGCAGCAGCCACCTGCTTCTCCTTGAATCCTGTGCTTATGTAGTCCCCTGCCAACGCCCCTCCCTGCCAGGCAGCTCTTCCCGCGACCTACCGGCCACCCAGACCATGTGCAGGGAGTTCTCCCACACGGTCTGATTGCGTCCCAAGAAGATGTGATGCTTGTGCTCCAGGAACAAGGACTCCACCAGCAGAAAGATCAGAAACCAGAGATACGAGGCCGAGTGGAGGAGGAACTTGATCACTGGGATCTTCAGCATTTTGCCAACCTGCCCAGGGATGGATAGGGGGAGGGATAGCTCAGTGGTTTGAGCATTGGCCTGCTAAACCCAGGGTTGTGAGTTCAATCCTTGAGGGGGCCATTTAGGGATCTGGGGCAAAAAAATAGTTGGGGTTTGGTCCTGCTTTGAGCAGGAGGTTGGACTAGATGACCTCCTGAGGTCCCTTCCAACCCTGATATTCTATGCACAAGCAGCGGCACGCTTTAGGGCTGCAAAGAGTCCCACAGCTGCCAATTCCCCCTCCGGAGGGCAGAGACCCACAGCCCCACGCTCATCCTGGCCTGCACAGGGACCCATTGAACTCACTGAGGGGGGCTGCACAGATGCAGTGATCCCCTCTCCTTGGGTCATCAGCACCACCACGTAGAGCTAACAGAGGGACTCTATTAGCAGACAGCAATAGTAGGCTGTTACCCTACAGTGAAGCAGATGCTAGTGGAGGCCATGACACACTCTTAGCCAGTGTGTTGTGCAAGGATCTCCCTGAGCAGATTGGGGCCCAATATGCAACATACAGTTGAGCGAGGGGGAATATTTAAGCATAAAACTCCCCCTACGTGAGCATTTGCAGCAGCAAATCTGAAGTGCTGGAACAATGGAGAATGAACTCAGAAGGGGCAGAGATATGGTGGAGTTCAAATTCATGGGATATGGGTGGATAATTCCCACCCCGACACTGTTGGCTCAGTTCTAGGGAGAGAAATCAGCAGAATTGCAATCAAGTTTCCATGGGCACGTAGGGATTGCCAGCCTGGATGAGACCCGAGGTCTCTCTAGCTAGTCTCCGGTCTCTGAGGGCCCAGCACCGGCTGCACCAGAAGGAGGTGCAAGAACCCTGCAGTAGCAGATGTGGGAGAATCTGCCCCCTTGTTGGGTCCCATCGTGGCCTGGCAGGCTGCTCACCCATGACTTCGGGGCAATCCAGTACACCAGGCACAGGAGGGGCATGGTCAGGAAGATGGAACAGGAGACAAAGAACTTCCAGAGCGTGTTGCTCCCGCGCCAGCCTGACAGGTTCCCGCACCAGATGGACGAGAGCACTTGTTGGCAGATGGGATGGGCAACAAACTGATCCGGAAGGACAAGAGGGGAGGAGGTCAGGCGGTTCAGAACAAAAATATTTATAGCCACCGGTAGCTTTCTGTGGCCCCAGCCCTTTCAGCCCAAAAGGTCCCAAAGCCGTACACAGGCACTCTCTTTCTAAGGAGCCCTGACCTACCAGTGACATGCAGCCACCTCTTGGGTGGCACATGGTTTAGCCGCTGCATAGCTGCACTGCACAAGGGCTATGGGCATGGGGTGAAGGATGATCCCACATCCAAGTGATATCCGAGGGGGAATTTAGAGAGGAATGGTGCACCCTGGAACCAGGACTCCAGGGTTCACACCCTGACTCCCAGGGATCGTTAGTGACATCTCATCTGAAAGACTGTGCCTGCGGCGCCCCCTAGTCTTATGCTGAGGTATTGGCTCAGTGTTGAGCGCCGCCTAGGGACGCCAAAGCCTCCCAGTCTCCTCCCTGGACTCACCTTCTTCTGGTTGTAGTTGACGGCCAGCCGGAGCCGGGCGAGGTTGGGGATGCCCTCCTCGAAGGCCTGGCTGTCCAGCTCCTCCTCCTCCTCCTCGCTGTCCCCCAGGTCGTTCAGCACGGCTGTCACCTCGCTCTGGTTACGGCACATACCCAGCAGCTCAAAGGCAAACTCCTGGCTCAGGAGCTCCAGGCTGAGGTACTCTGGCTGCGGGAGGGGGACAGGCGGGTGGGGCAAGGGGACAGTACCTGAGCACAGGTCCCATCACCTTCTACTGCTGCAAGGGTTTTCCTTGTGCTCTTTGTCTCTGGTCGGTCACGGCTTTGCCTCCTTTATTTGCGCAGGGGGGTGGACTTGCTGACCTCTCAAACTCCCTTCCAGGCCTACATTTCTATGACTGTATGACCTTAGTCAAGAGGGGCCATTTCTGTGGGCTCCCTCCCATAACAGCACAACAAGGGGTGCTCAGAATGAGAGGGCTGCAAATTTACAAATGTACAATTAACCTGTGGAACTCCCTGCTGCAGGGTGGGAGAGCGGCAAATATCTCAGCCAGGTTCAATAGAGGATTCGGCTCCCGTGGGTTCCAGGATGCACATGTTTGAACATCTCCCTGGAGTGGAATCAGGGGTGTAGCGGGGTGGTTACCCCGCTCCTGCCCTGAAGGGCTTAAAACAGCCCTGGGAGAGGGCTGTGGCAGGGGAAAAGCTGGGCTGATTGGGGAAGCAGCCGCAGCTGGGCCACGCCCCAATCAGGCCCCAGCTGGCCTGTATAAAAAGGCTGTGAGCCGGAGTCCCAAGAGGAGTCTCTCTCCAGGCTGGGAGACAGCAGGGCCTGGCTGCCTGCAGGAAGGGTACTGGGAGTGAGGCAGGCCTGGGGAGAGCCAGAGGAGCAGGGGAGCTCCAGGCTGGCAACTCCCCAGGCTGCAGGGTCTGGTCCAAGGCCCATAGAGACACTGGGAGGCAGAGGAAGGCAGCAGGTCCGAACCCCCTTGCCTATGATGAGTGGCTTTACACTGCAGTCTGCCCCAGGGACTTGGTGATGACTGGCAGTAGCCCAGACTGAGGCAAGGTGGAGATAGAGGGTTGGGGGTTTCCCAGAGAGGGGAGACCCATAGAGACTGGTGGGGGTATTGCCAGAGGGCAGCCCCAGGGTAAAGGGGCACCGGGTCCTGGGAGGGACACGGGGGCCAGCGGTAGCGGGACACCGGCCTGCAGAGGGCGCTCCAGAGGCTGGAACAGCTAATTCCCGAGATGACCAGCAGGAGGCGCCGCAGCGGAGTCCTGCACACCTACGGGGGAGGCAAAATTCGTTCTCTCCCTTCCCCTCCCCCTGGCTCACACTGGGGAGGGACGATGACTGTGTTAAACCCCCAGGGTCCAAATTCAGAGCTGGTACAAGCAGGTGTAACTCCACTGAAATCTAGCATGTTGCACCTGCCTCTCTTCACTCCCTGGGTCCTGCAGACCCGTCACCCCAGGGGAGGTGGAACCTTGTATTCTGAGCACAGAACCACGGCTACCCGCAGAACAAGGATGGACGGAGAGTGGAACCGAGACCCCAGCCTTGGCATGGGGACCGCGGAGAGCCTCACCTTGAACTCCGGCTCCTTGCAGGAGAGGCGCTGCAGCTCCCGGCAGAGCTTGAAGGCGGTCAGCATGGCATCCTCGCTGGTGATGGAGAGGTAGGCCCGGCTGGCGATGCCCTTGTAGGTGTTGATGCGGAAGAGGGAAAACTTGAGCAGGTCGTACTTGCGGCCGTTGCTGCACTCCAGGCAGGTGCAGGAGATCTTGTGGGGCCGGGGGATGGCGTGGCCTTTCTGCACCAGCATGTCCACGATCTCGTAGAGGTCCTTCTCGCAGGCCAGGGTGAGCGGCGTCACGCCAGGGGCGAAGCGGGCGTTGTCGATGGAGCGGTCGAAGAAGGCCAAGGAGAAGGACTTGATGTCCATCTTGATGCTCTTTTCCTGGTCCAGCCGGTCCAGCAGCAGCTTCACCACCTGGGGCTGGTTGGTGTCCACGGCGACCAGCAGGGCCTCGTGGATCTGGCGGAAGTCGAACTTGACGTAGCGCAGCAGGGTCCCAGTGATCTCCCCACCGCCCACGCGGATGGCCAGGTTGAGGGCTTCCCGCCACGCGCGGTCCTCACTGTCGGCCTGCTGCTGCAGGATCCCGTCGCTCCCCTGCAGCAGCTGCTGCACCCGCGACAGGTCCCCCTCCTGGATGGCGTCGAGGAGCTCGCTGGGGAACCTCAGCTTCCTGTTGACTATCTCCCTCCAGCTGGGTTGCTGCGAGGGGCAGAGAGTGGCACAGTGGTGGGCCTGCCTCTATGGAACCCCCACCTGGAGCCAGGGCTCTGCCGCTGGCAGGCTCACAGCACCAGCTCCTTGGAAAGGAGCCCACAAGCTGCTGGAGCCCTGGCTAGAGCTGGGGATTGGGCTGCCTGAGAATGGCAAGCTCCTTTCTGCTGAGCAAAATTGATGCTCTCCTCAGTTTCACGCGTGCTAGGCAATAGCAGCCACAGACAGTCCATTTCACATGCGTCTTTCACCAACGCCGTAGTGTGGGGGTTTGGAAATGGCATTTTTAGGGAGCTCCAGTTTGCCAGGAAATTTCAGGAAATTTGCTTTCATTCCAAATTGGAACAAAACCCCAAATCCCCGGTGAACCCAAATCCCTGGAGCGTGGCCAGCTGCACCCAGGCGTTCTGAATTCCACCCCCTGCTCTAGCCACTAGAGCACTTTTCCTCCCAGAGAGGAGCCCAGACGTCCTGAAGCTCAGTCCCGATTTAGCCATCAGATCTCGTCCCTCCTATGAGTAGCTAGTAGCATCCTGAGGTCTGCAGGGCGGCTATGCCTGGAGAACTCGCAAACCGAGGTAACCTGGATGTATCTGGCTCTCAGTTATGCTGGAGCGAAGCCAGAGTCGCTCCATTGAGGTCTGTGGAATTACTCCAGGGACGTACCTGAGAGCAGAACCCAGCCCCTCCCTGCGGCTGTCACTTGGTTGGAGCTACCCAACCATGAATTCGGCTCAAGGATACGGGCTGGAGCGTCTGGCGTCCAGTGGTTCTTTCCCATTTAGGAGGGCCGGGCTGCTGCTGGGGAGACTGGCCTGGCTTGAACTTTCCCTTCTGTCCCCCAAACCGTCAGCCCTTGCCACCATTGGATTGTTGTTGTTTTTTACCTCAGTGCTAAGAGGCCCCAGGTGAGATCCCTCCCCCCCCCATGCTAGGTGCTGTACGTACCCACAGCCAGTCCCTGCATCCAAGAGTTTACAGCTTAAAGGGACAAGACAGAGAGAGGAAGCTGAAGTTTTATTCTTCCCCTTTAGAGATGGGGAGAGAGATTAAGGGACGTGCACGAGGTCTTGCCCCCAGAGTCTGCAGCCGAGGCAAACCCCTGTCCAGGGCCTTGCACACAAGATATCAGAACCCGAGTCAGGGAACTGAAATTCCCCCAGCTAGCCAGGCCGTCCCAGGCCACCTCCTCACCCACCGCGCTCTCTCATTTTGGATCCAGCAGCTCTTTTCAGACCCAGCCTCGCCCCCTCGGCTCCTCGCTGCCACTCTAGCTGCCGAGCAGCAGCAGTGGCGGGAAGCAGAAGTATGTTGGAAGGGGGGATGAGAGAGACCTGCTGCTGGCTGGGAACCCCTTTCCATTCATCCTCCCCTTCCAGGCTCAGATTGCAGCTCCCTGCTTAACGTAACACACGCTGCCTGGGGAGAAACGTGGTGGCACTGACTAATTACCTGCTGCCTAATTAGCTCCCCAGGCTTCATTAAGCACGCCTGATTGAATTCACAGCTTGGATATTACACAGCACCTCGACTGCATTAGAGCCAAATGGGGCTGGAAACCAGCCAGTGCTCTTTAAAGAACAAAAAACAAGGTGGGGGCTGGGTGCCGGGCTCAGGAACAGCTGCTCAGAAGGGCCCTGCCAGATACAGCAACAGCCTGCGGTGGGGAGAACAGTTCAGAGAGCATTCACAGTGGCAGAGTTGGGTACAGCCCCTCTAGAGGCTGGTTCACCTGAAGGATAACAACCTACCACCACTGCCAGCAAATGGAGTCACTCCTTTAGCTCAAGTGGTAGGGGGGCTGTGCTGTGGCACTTGTATTCTGAGGTTCAAACCCGGATGGGAGCAGGCTGTATCATTTGGTTCATATCTAAATCCCTGTCGTGCTCACATCCTAGGAATATGTACAAGGAACAGAAGAGGTGAAGGAGTGAATTCCACGGGACTATCTGCACCAGGCACCTGATTGTGAGAGTGATGCTTATCCAATCAGGTAAGAGAAACAATGGCATGTGACTTCAGCACCCAATTGGAACTAACCAACTCAGCTTGGTACTTGACCATTTGCAAGGAACTAGTTGCAAAGGAGCTCTGGCTGGAGAATAATTCAGCCTGTCACATTGGCTAAGTGATCTCAGAGATCGGAGAAGTCAGGAGAGCTAGGTTCAGTTCCCGGCTCTGCAATTGACTCACTAGGTGTTGTGGGGCAAGTCACGTCCCTGCTCTGTGCCTCAGTTTTCCCACCTGTAAAAAGGGGGGAATTAAACTCGGAGAATGTCAGAGATCTAAATGGGCTATAGTAGCACCACACAGAAAGGTGGCATGGGGAGATCACTGTAATTAACGCAGCCTTTAAGGCCAGAAGGAACCAGCATGATCATCTAGTCTGACCTCCTGCACATCACAGGCCACAGAACCTCACCCACCCGCTCCTGGAATAGACCCCGAACCTCTGGCTTAGTTACTGACGTCCTTAAATCATGGTTTAAAGACTTCAAGTTACAGACAATTCACCATTTATACTAATTCAAACCAGCAAGCGACCCGTGCCCCACGCTGCAGAGGAAGGTGAAACCCCCTCCAGGATCTCTGCCAATCTGACCTGGGGGAAATTCCTTCCTGACCCCAAATAGGGGGATCAGTTAGACCCTGAGCATATGGGCAAGACTCACCAGCCAGACACCTGGGAAAGAATTCTCTGTAGTAACTCAGAGCCCTCCCCATCTAGCATCCCATCAGCGACCGCTGGGGACATTTGCTACTAGCAGTCACAGATTGCCTACAGTGGCACATGAGCCATCTCATCAGACCAGCCCTCCATAGACTTCTCACGGTCCAGAACCTCAATATACCTGATCTCAGTCACTTGCAAATGACATAGAAGCAGGTCTGTGGGGCAGGACAGAGGTACAGTCTGGGATTGCAAAAAGAATGTCCCATGTTCAAGGGGACAGCTGCTCAGATGGCTAAGCTGTTGCATCATTACCTGTTGCACAAACAGAGAGAGAGAGAGGTAGCTTTCATGTTAACCCCAGAACTTCTGCAGTGTCCTCCGCTTCTTTCGAGTGTGACTGATCAATATTTTCACCTCCGAGGTTGGGTTATTAACAGTAACTAAATACACAGGACAACATATTCATTTTATATTTCCAGATGCTCCTGTCTAGATGGACTCCAAAGCACCTCAATGTGTAACATACAGCACCACCAAATGCAGCCACCTCTGGGGTGGAGGGAAGCAGCTGAGCAGAGCACAGTACAACTGTGTGCATTAGGGCGTGGGGGATATTTTGGATAAGGGTTCCCGAGCAAATCCTCACCACTTACAAGCATGAATTCAAAGCATGTTACCAATATCAAATCCTTAAAATTCACCCCAGGCCTGGACATTAGTTCATTGGCCCCATTTTAGAGATGTGGAGATCAAGGTGCAAGAGAGGCAAATGATTTAGCAGCAGAGATGGGATTAGAAAGCAGGAGTTCCTAGCTCCCAGATCAACGGACTGTACCTCCCTCCCCCTGGGTCCTTAAAACCCAGGCGGCACCAGCAAGATCCAGCCACACACTGCCTGGAAGTCAGTACCTCTGCAGCCCCTTGGAAGGATGAATCATAGAATATTAGGGTTGGAAAAGACCTCAGGAGGTCATCTAGTCCCACCCCTTGCTCAAAGCAGGACCAATCCCCAGACAGATTTTTGCCCCAGATCCCTAAATGGCCCCCTCAAGGGTTGAACTCACAATCCTGGGTTTAGCAGGCCAATGCTCAAACCACTGAGCTATCCCTCCCCACACAGGGCTGAGCCAGCTGTGATATGATTCAAGCCAGGGATTTGAGGGGCCAGACCACGCCTGCTGCAACTCCAATGATGGCTTGGTCCTGTGCAGTCTCAGACTTGGTGCAGAAACCATCGCCCATCCCGGAATCATCCATGCCTCTCTGTTGCCCCACTCCATCTTTTAAATGCCCAAGCGCGCTTCTTTAAATGAACCCCAGGGAAGGTGGGAGAGCAGGGCAGGGGAACCCAGGATATAATGGGGAGGAGAGGTGATCCTGGCTGCCCAGCCAACTGCATTCCCCTCATGCCCAGTCTGACAGATTGCTTTGTGCTTTCCAATGCTTTTCCAACTCTCCTGCGTGCCCTCCCTGCGCAGCTCTGAACAGACCATGAGCTTTTACCAACTCTTCGCCCCAGGGTTCTCCTGCTCCGGTTCATAGGTCACTGGCCGCTCCATGGAGCCCTTCACGGAGCTCTACAGCCGGTTGTGGGGAAAGCAGAGAGACCCAGGAGAGGGCCTCTCACAAAGCGCTCTGAAGATCACAGTGGCTGAGAAGCCCCTTAGCGCGTGATCTCCGTGTGCCACCCACATGCCATAGACCGGGTGAGACCTGAGCCGAGGACCCTCTCTCTGAGGACCAGCCCCTGTCTTAAGTGGCCAGCACCATGCTGTTCAACCTTCCTACCAATTTTCCCTGCTCCTCCTCGGAGCATTACCTCACGGGGCACCGTGTGGGCCCAACGCTGGTACAGGGCAAGCAAGGCGGGTCTCACCATGGCAGGGCTGTTACAAAGAGAACTCTGTTACTCACCATGATGCTCTCCATGGCCAGCCCTGGTCAGAAGATCACTCCGCTGTGCCGGTCGCTCCTTGCCGAGAAGCAGCCAGCTGGAGAGAGGGCTGGAGGATGCTCAGGGCCCTGGTCACCAGTGGGAGAAGCTTTGGCTCAGAGCCATGGCCCAAGGCCATTCACATCCACAAGATGAAGTCCCAAACTGTGCCACAGCTCAGCCCAGGAAGCTCCAATTCCAGCCCTTCTCCCTCCACCTGGGCAGCAGCTGGCATCTTATTTCCTCCCTCCGTTCACCCTCCAGGACAAGATGAAGTCTTGTTTGTCCCTGGCATGGGTATGACCAGGTAAGAGCAGCAGGACCCACCTGCCCCTTCCCCAGAGAGCAGGGCCGCTCCAGGCACCCAGAGGGCGAAATTAATGAGGACATCAGCAACCGCCCTCCCACGCTGCTGCGGGGAAACTACAGGTGTTTTTCTCTGGTTGTTTTTTCTTTCCTCTGTCTGTCAGTCTCTCTCTCTCTCTCTTCCCTTTTCACACCCTAATCCTTTCCCTGCAGCAAATGAACTCCTTGCTTAGATCCAACAGGCCTCTCCGGAGAGCATGAAGAGGATGGGTTTGGCTGCTGGGGTACATCCCTCACATTCAGTATCCGGGTTTATCTCAGATTCCAAGACCAGAAAGGATCATTGTGATCACCTTGCCTGACACCTGGATAGCACAGGCCAGAAAACTGCCTCGCAATAATTCCTAGAGCAGAGCTTTTAGAAAAACAACCACTATTGATTTAAAAATCGTCAGTGATGGAGAATCCACCATGACCCTGGGTAAATTGTTCCAATGGTTAATTACTTTTACTGTTAAAAATTCACGCCTTATTTTCGGTCTGAATTTGTCTAGCTTCCACTTCCAGCCATTGGATCATGTTAGACCTTAGGCCGCTGCCAGAGTGAAGAGCCCATTATTCAATATTTGTTCCCCACGTAGGCACTTATAGATTGTGATCAAGTCACCCCTTAACCTTCTCTTTGTTGAGCTAAACAGAGTGAGCTCCTTGAGTCTGTCACTATCCGGCAGGTTTTCTAATCCTTTAATCATTCTCATGGCTCTTCTCTGGACCCCAATGTATCAACATCCTTCTTGAATTGTGGCACCAGAACCAGACACAGGATTCCAGCAGTGCTCGCACCAGAAGTAAAATAACCTCTCTTCTCCTACTCGAGATTCCCCTGGTAATACATCCCAGGGATTGCATTAGTCTTTCAGGCCACAGCATCGCACTGGGACCTCATGTTCAGCTGATTATCCTCTATGACCCCCAAATCTTTTTCAGAGTCACTGCTTCCCAGGATAGCGTCCCTCAGCCTGGAAGTACAGCCTGCATGCTTTCTTTCTAAATGGAGACATTTACATTTAGCTTTATTAAAACACAGATTGTTTGCTTGTGCCCAGTTTACCAAGCGATCCAGATATCTCTGTATGAGTGACCTGTCCTCTTCATTATGTACCATGCCTCCAGTTTGTGGGTCATCTGCAATTTTATCAGTGATGATTTTATGTTTTCTTCTAGGTCATCAATAAAAATCTTAAATCGCATAGGGCCAAGAACCAATACCTGCGGGCTTCCAGTAGAAACACACCCGTTCGATGAGTCCCCATTTACAATTACATTTTGAGACCTAGCAGCTAGCCAACTATTAATCCATTTAATGTGGGCCACGTTCATTTTATAGCACTCTAGTTTTCAATCAAAATGTCATGTAGTACCATGTCAAATGCCTAACACTATATTACCTTTATCAACCAAATTTGTAATCTCATAAAAAAAAAGATATCAAGTTAGTTTAAATCTATTGTCCATACACTCATTTGATGGGCATTAATTACATTACCCTCCTTTAATTCTTTATTAATTGAGTCCCATTTCAGCCGCTCTATTCTCTTTCCCAGGAATGATGTCAGGCTGACAGGCCTATAATTACCCAAGTCATCCCATGTACCCTTTTTAAATATTGGCCCAACATTAGATTTCTTGTATTCCCCTAGAAGAACTTCCCCAGTGCTCCAAGACTTATTGAAAATCAGTATTAATGGCCCAGTGAGCTCCTCCCTGATTGAAGGACTTTATTCTTACTAGGATCAAGTGTCCCCTCACTGCCTACAGCCCCCTCCGCTCTGATCTCTCCAGGTCTCTTTAGTTTGGGTTCTGGCCACCTGCATGTTTGCTCCCACCCCCTGATTTTGCATCATCTGGAAATTTGATCATGGTTGGACTGATGCCAAAGAACAGCTGACAGATGTGAAGCAGCTGCTCAGCAATCAGAGAGGTGCTTGGTTATCTTAGTTTAGCCTCTGGAATCTTAGAGCCGTGGACTGGCCAACAGCTGACAAAAAGCATCCCTGCTTAGAGACCGACTGCACTACCACAGACACAGCTGCCGATGCCCTAGCAGGACCCTGCAGCTCCCAGTATTCCCCAGATCTTTGAGAACTAATCTGTTAGGTAAAGCAAGGCTCTTAAACGTCTGGGGGCCAGCTGGGGCCTAACATGGATTGGCTTAGCATGGGACAGGACAAGAGACACAATGCTTTAGCTCTGCTAAATATCAGCACTAACCAGCCATGCCTAAACCGCATCAGCTTTGCAGTGTACGATGAACGTCTCTCAATGCTTCCTTCTCTCCTCTCTGCCGGTGCCAACGAGACGTGTCGGCTCCCCAGAGAATCAGGAGGCAGCTGTGTCTGTGTGTTTGCCTGTAAATTACCGACCGCCCTTCTGCAAGTGAACGGTGGGCAGTAGCAGGGAACCATTCTGGATCTACCCGTAACAACATGGGGTGGAGATCCCCTATTCCTGGGAATTCAGTTCAGTGTGACCCACACGGCAATGCGTCCTACGAGTTACATGCAGGGAATGGGAGCCATTATTACATGTACTGAAGTAGCACTTACAGGCCTCCACTGAGATCAAGGTCCCACTGTGCTAGGCACTGCACATGCTAACAGGCATTGCCCTGCCCTGAAGAGCTTTATTGTCATCCCCATTTCACAGATGGGAATTGAGGCACAGGGAGATAACGTGATAGACCCAAGGCAGCAGCACTGGCACTAGAACCCAGAGCACCTGGGCCCTAGGCCAGTGCCTTAACCACAAGGCTGTCCTCCCTCTAAGTGGGGTCCCTGCTTCTGTTCCTACCTACCTGTCACCTTGGGTAGACAGACAGGTAGACAGACGCACTCTAGCTTCGCCAGAGCCAGCACACGACAAATAGCAGCGTGGATGCTTCAGGCTAGCCACCCAAGCTCGCCCCCCATAACAACTACATGGGGGAAATGAGACACTTTTCATACAACATTCACTCTGTATCTGACCTCTCAATTCCCATCCTCCAAGGAAACCTGCACAACACCTTCCAAAGGCGAGCCTGGGAGCTTAAATTCCTAACATCTTGAATACTGCGTGCAGATGGTCGTTCCATCTCAAAAAAGATATATTGGAATTGGAAAAGGCTCAAAAGAGGACTACAAAAATGATTAGGAGTATGGAACAGCTTCCATATGAGGAGAGATTAATAAGACTGGGACTTTTCAGCTTGGAAAATAGATGATGAAGGGGGGATATGATTGAGATCTATAAAATCATGACTGGTGCGGAGAAAGTAGATAAGGAAGTATTATTTACCCCTTCACATGACACAAGAACAGGGGTCACCAAATGAAATTAATACGCAGCAGGTTTAAAACAAAAGGAAGTATTTCTTCACACAATGCACAGTCAACCTGTGGAACTCTTTGCCAGAGGATGTTGTGATGGCCAAGACTAAGAGGGTAAAAAAAAATAAACTGGATAAATTCATGGAGCATAGGTCCATCAATGGCTATTAGCAAGGATGGGCAGGGATGGCGTCCCTAGCCTCTGTTTGCCAGAAACTGGGAATGGGCGACAGGGGATGGATCACTTGATAATTGCCCTGTTCTGTTCATTCCCTCTGGGGCACCTGGCATTGGCCGCTGTCGGAAGACAGGATACTGGGCTAGATGGACCATTGGTCTGACCCAGTCTGGCTGTTCTTATGTTCTTAACTTTGCTAGACACCAAAAATTACAGATTTGATAAAGACACTGGATTTATGGCTCATTACAACAATCCATAACCCGCAAAGACTCCTTTGGCATGTGACTGCAGAGAAGTTAGCTGCCCACTTCACCTGGAATGGTCTCTTCCAACATGTGTTAACTCCTTATGCTTAACAACCGGTCCCACCTTGTATTTAGCTGTGACACTCAAAGTGCCTTTCCCAGACCTGAAGAAGAGCTCTGTGGAGCTCGAAAGCCTGTCTCTCTGACCAACCAGACGTTGGTCCTATAAAAGGTAGCTCCTCCCACACCTTGTCTCTCTAATATGGGACCTACATAGCTCCACCAACACTGCAAACAGTCCATCCCTGCATCACAGGTGTATGTGAATGTGTGCGTCTGCCTGGCTCTGGCTGAGTCATCATTGTCCTCCTTCCAATCCCCCCTCAACTCTCCTTTGCTGTGAGGCTGACAAAAAACTTGACAGTGGTCAGGCTACTGATGTGCTGAGACCCCCGCCTGCCATGCTGGCTAACACAGTCTTTGTTTCCTTGTGCTCCCCCTTCAGTCTGTCTCCGTCTGTTGTCTCTTGTCGTACGCTTAGGTTGTAAGCAATTTGGGGCAGGACCATTGTTCTGTTCTGTGCTGTACAGCTCCTAGACCATCCCTGGTGTGATCCTTCTGAAGTCAATGGAGTTGCCCCAGGGCTGAACGCATTCCAGGATGCCCATGGCATGGGGCCTGGTTCCCAGTGTCACCATGACGGCGATGGCCCCAGTCCAAAGGAGGCTCCAACCCAGCTGAGCAGAGTGACCCTAAGGCTCAGACACAGGGATACCTCAATACGGGGCTGATGGGGCGATAGGGGGGCATGTGCCAGCGTTGTGCCTCTACGGCCCGGCTTGGCCCTGCCAGCCTTATTCCACCCACAGCCAGGAATGGGAGGTCTCCAGGGCTCCTGCCCGCTCCCCACAGGTGCTGGCGTGCCTCTCCACCTCTGCTGTGCTGAACCGGAACTCACAGATGGGGCATGGCACCCAAGCCTCGGGGGGCTCCTCGCGCCGGGGATCTTCCCGTGGCAGGGATGGCCAGGTGGTGTCTGGAAGGGAGCCATCTTCCCCACAGGTGGAGGCGTGAACGGGAAGGAGATCTGTGCTGAAGCAGCCTGCAGCGAGGAGAGACGACAGCAGAGCTAACCCAGGGCCACCTGGGGCTTCAGGCTGAGAGCAAGGTTAGAACTTGGGACCCCAGGCCCTTGCCACTCAATCTCTGTCAGCTGTTCCTAGTATAGGGCCTACCGCATAACTGGGCAGTTCTGATTCCAGCCAGGAGAGGGCAGTAGCATGAACAGAGTGCAGTTTATTACTTTACAACAATCAACATGTATACAGTGCTTCTCATAAATTCCAAGGCCAGACGGGACCATTAGGATCACCTGCTCTGACCTCCTGTATAACACCGGCCAGCGAACTGTCCCAAAATAATTCCTAGAGCAGAGCTTTCATTCTGAAGGAGCCCAAGCCACTGTACACATTCACCAGCCGTTGAAATGCAGCCACCTCTGGGGTGGCACCCCGTCAGCTGTTGAACAGCAGCGAAGGCTCCCATAGCCAATTGAAAGTGCTGGGGGAGAATCAGGTCAGTGGAGTGTAGTTGCATTCTGCCTCCGAGCTCAAACCCTGGTTCCATGTGTTCGACAGCCTCCGCAAACAAACCATGAGCACTGAAACCAACCTCACCTCCCTACGCCCCTTTGGGTCTCCTTAAGCAGGTGTGGCTGAAGCCGGCTGAACTGCTGGGCGCTTGGCTGCTCTGAAAATCAAGCCACTGGGGCGCCCAAGTATGGATTTAAGTGGATACCTTTTAGGTAAGCAAGGGTATGTCTTCACTACGCCGGATCGGCGGGCAGCGATCAATCCAGCGGGGGTCGATTTATTGCATCTAGTCTATACGCGATAAATCGACCCCCAAGCGATCTCCCATCAACTCCTGTACTCCAGCTCGGCAAGAGGCGCAAGCAGAGTTGACAGGGGAGCGGCAGCAGTCGACTCACCGGGGTGAAGACACAATGGTAAGTCGATATAAGTATGTCGACTTCAGCTATGTTATTCACGTAGCTGAAGCTGCGTAACTTAGATCGATCCCCCCCTCTCAGTGTAGACCAGGCCCAAGTTTGAATCATAGAAACGTAGGGCTGGAAGGGACCTCAGGAGGTCATCTTTCTAATCCACGTCCCTGCAAAGTCATGAATAAAGGAGGCAAGGCTGCGACTAAGACGGGAGAGAGAGCGCGAAAGGAAATCCCTCGCAGCAATAAAAGTTGATGGGAGTGGAACTGAGCCATTACTGGTGTTTTAAGGGCGGCGCGTGAGCTTCTGCCTTTGAGACACCCCATGGTGGTCAGAGGAGTAACAATCCAGACTGGCTGTCTCTCTAATGGCCCATCTACACGGCAAGCGAAGGTGTGATTGTAGCACGGGTAGGCAGGCTGCGCTAGCTTTCATCCAGCTAGCCCGCGTAATAACAGTAGTGAAGACACAGCAGCAGGGGCGAGCAGTGAGAGTACATTCCCCAGTCGTTAACCCGTGCTGCTGGATCTTCACTGCTATTGTTACTCACGTGAGCTGGATTGAAGATGGCACGGGTCTGCCTACCCACGCTACCGTCACACCTCCCCTGGCAGTGTGAACAGACCCTAGAGATAAACGCTCGTTCAGAGATACTCACACTGAGGCTCGCAAGCCGCAACTGGCTCTTTAATGTGTCCCTTGCGGCTTTGTGCAGCACACGATATTAAAACACTGTGATTGAATTATTAACCAATCTACATTATTAACCCATCAGGATGCTTTTACTAGGTTATTAACCAATTGTAGTTGTTAAAATAACAACATTTGGTCAGTCATTTTGCTGTGAGAATAATATATAGAGATAAAAGCTAAATATTTCCCCATCCCGCTGTTTAAATCTGACTCTATAGTACTGAAGTAAAGGAAGAGCTGAATTCACATGACGGTGGCTCTTTTGGGTAATGTTGGTCACTAATTTGGCTCCTGAACCATTGAGGTCTGAGTACCCTGCTCTAGGTCAATACCAAGTTACTGGGCTGGATGCCGGACCCCTGGGGTGAGGTTCTTTGGCCAGTTTGCATATCAAACTAGACAGATACAACGGTCCCCTCTCGCCTTGAAGTCTATGCTCACCCTCTTCTTTGAGTCCAGCTCTGGAGACGGAATCAGGCGAGACGCCAAGCTGAACATCCCACTGATCGCAAACCCACCAGATGGGCAGGGATCACATCACTCTTTTTTACGACCAGCTGAGTTAATGGAGGGGCCTCCCGTGCTCGACCCGAGAGCTGGCTGCATCTCAGGGGTGGATCCTTTGAGCCACACAAATCCAGCGTGTGTGCGACAGACCCAAAGGGCCTTCCAAAGAGAGCGATTTAGGCAGGAGGACATGCTCTAAGGCACTTGTTATAGCTGGCAGCAGCTCTAGCCCGCACCCCAGAACACTCACCTGCACAGATGGGGCATGTGCCCATCTCCCCGCCTGCCTCTCCACCATCATCCAGCTTGCTGGGCCTTCCTCCCCGGCTCCTGGCTCTTCCTCCCTGGGTACCAGGCCTGGGCATTGACCTGCAGAGAGAGATTTCAGGAGCAGCTGTTTCTCCAGTTTGCAGCATCCTTTGCCCTCGCACCCCAAAGGGTAGCCCAGGCTCAGAGAAGCTGCACTGCCTGTTGAGACACACCAAAGGCGGCAGCTGGAAGGACCAGGATCGCCCCATTCCTGCTATCCCGTCCTACGCACCCACTGGCTGTGATGGAGACCCAGAGGAGAGCCCCAGGAAGGCTCTGCGTGGGCTGGGACACTGGCTCAGAGAAGGAGCTGCCAGCTGGGCTCCGAAGGGGGAACTGGGACATTTGGAGGGTTAAGGGAACACAACAGGGTTGATCCGTTACCTCCCTGCGGTGCCTTGTGATCTTCGTCTCCTGCTTGGCTTCACCCGGACCCTCCTCAGGGGTGGAGCGTCATGGACATCCTGCACAGGGCCTGGAGAATAACCAGCAGCAGCATTGTACCTAACTCCTGGATAGAGCTTTACAAAGCAGGTCGGGATCGCTGTCCCCATTTCACAGATGGGGAAACTGAGGCAGCAGGAGGGGAAATGACTTGCCCAAGGTCACCCAGCAGCAGTTCTGAGAATAGAACCCAGGTCTCCTGAGTCCCAGCCCAAGGCTCTGCCCACTAGGCCACACAGCCAAGCCAAGTTGGCACCAACACATGCAGTCGTGCCGCTGGCAGGCAGTTTGGTGGGACTGGAGAATGCTCCAGAATCAACAAGCAGCAGTTTTGAATGGCGATGCTGAGCCACAAACACATGGGGGAGGGACATGATTCACTGGCTGAGATGGACACCAGGTAAGCCCAGCCCATGGAGTCTGCACCAGGGGATCAGGGGCTGATGGTGCTTAGCTATCTTGGGGGGGCATGAGCTCTGCGCTAGGAGGGTCGAGACCCCAAGGAGAGAGGGGAGCTGGCTAGAGCAGGAGGGGGCTGGAACGAAGAGCAATGGGAGGAAATGGAACAGAAGCTGCCGACAGCGAGAGCTCCTCCTGTGGGACAGTCTCCCAGTGGAAAGCCCATCTCTGAGGGCTGTCACTAGCCCAGAGATCAGAGCGGTTTCACAGCCTTTGGTGCCTGCCTCTAGGGAAGAGATGGGTCAGCTGGGGGCTCCGCCAGAGAGCGTAGGGCCAGTCCTGCCTTGGCTGTGGGGAGGGTCAGCCTGGATGGGACTCAATAGTGCTCATCTTCCCAGCAACAGTGAGACCTCATCCCTCTGTTGGCTGGGGACTGACAGAGCAGGCCTTACCCGGGGCAGAGGGAGACATTCCCCATCAGCTACCTGGGCATATTCCAGAAGCCCAAGATCCAACCAGGCCCCTCGTGGTCCGTAGGCAACACTTCCAGCAGTGGGGCCCCGTGAGTGCTTTTCGCCAGCTGGGCAGAGGGCACCATGCCAGGTCCTCCCAGATGCCCATCACTCTCTGGATCATTACGGGAGCGCGTGCCGGAAGAGCAGCTGCTGATCCCACCCGAGGGGGCAGGACAGCTTTGGAGAGGGCTGCAGTATCCCCAGCTCAGCTGGGCAGAGAAGGAGCTTGGGGGATCCCACTCGAGTCCCCACACGGCTGCAACCGACTCACGGTTCACGGCTGGATCTTCACCCTGCTGTCCCCGGCTGCTCCCCGATCTCTCAGCGGCCAAAGAGGTGGCGCTGGGGCCCGGCTGGAGAGTGCGGCTGCGCGACTGGGCCGCTGACAGCACCATCCTGGCTGTCCGGCTGAGACAGGTCGGGCTGCGGGGATGAGGCCCACAGCTGGGCTCCAGCAGCTGCAGTCGGCTCTTCAGTTCCTCCTCCTCCCCCTTGCTCCTGGGCAGAGAGAGCCAGAGACCCAGTGATTCCTGCCAACTGGCCAGGGAACACCCCTGAACGGGACGGACACTCCCTGCTCCCAACTCTGGAAGGGATCTCCCCCAGGGCCAATAGCACATCCCTTCCAGCAGCAGCTCAGGGAGTGATCAGGACTTTGGCCCGGACCCCCACCCACCCCACAGCTGGGCGTGCGGGTCAGTCTATCCTGCGGTGACCCCGAGCTAGGATACAATGGTAGCAGGAGGGGCTTGTCCGTGGGGAGGGGTGGGAGACTCCAGCTGGAAGAGGCTGCCATTCATGACGGCTTTGGCCTGGAGGGCATCCTAGGGGCTTGCTCCCACCGCCAGCGGAACAAGCGGGCACAGAGCCCATGAGCTTCCATAGGTGTTTCGGGCCCTCAGCTCCTGTCCAGCTCAGGACACAGCACAGGGCTAGGTCCAGCTGGCGGAGAACAGCCCCCTGGAGCAGCCTCGAGTGGCAGCCTGGCCGTCCTGCCCAGTCGATGGGGACAGCGCACCGAGAGAGGCAGTGGCGGGAGAGGAGAGGGATCCTGGGAGGGGAAGCAATCACTAGGACCAAGGGTTCCTCCCAGCCTGAGCCACTGGAAGGGGGTTGGCAAGCCCCCAGCTGGGACCCATAGTAGCAGCTCCCATGCGAATGTCACTGGCACCGTGACAGCCCCAGGAGGGAGGGGAAGCCGCGCATGCCACTGCCTTTGGCCCAGCCCCACAGCTCCAAGGCGCAGCCCCTCCCTCTGAAGGGCGATTGCTCCCCTGAGGATACTTACGGCTGCACCTCCGGGAAAAACGTCCTGCGAAAGGCGGGGCTGGCGAGCCAGGGGCTGGCTGCGGGCTCGAGACCCGTCTAGGGGAGAGGGAAACACAGCTCAGAGCCCTGCTCTCATGGGAGATATCCCCCAGCCCCCACCCAGAGCCAGCGCGCGCAGAGAACCAGTAGCAGTAGAGAGAGAAGAGACCCCCAAGCCCCATCCAGCCCACTCCCATGGCCAGTGCCCTAGAGCACATAACACAGGAACAATCCTGCACTGGTCCCCGTCAGACAGCTAGAGGATGGACAGGCGTCCTCCTCCTCTGAACCTGGCACACTCGACTGCATAGGCCACGCAGCACCCAGGAGCCGGGCCGGGCGGGCTGAGCAGGCCACTGGCCTATCCCCACTGTGACCAAGCGGTGAGAGCACCAGCCTCAGCACCAACAAGAGACCTCCTTCTGCCGCCCCAGACCCCCTCGCCCAAGGAGCATGGGGATCCCTCGCAGGCCCTGACCTGGGGCGGAGCTGGAGCCGCCTGGCTGTGATCGGGGTCCAACGGGGTGCGGATGTGGATGAATGAGAGGCCAAATTGGGCCTGCTTGTTGAAGGGCTGGCTGCAGGTGATCCTCACGCGATCCCACTTCTCGCCCAGTGCCGCCACCAGGAAATCCCCTGCGGACAGAGCAGGAACAGATGGGCAGCTTCACTCCTGGAGCGAGACGCTGCCGCCTTCTAACGGCCTTGCAGGAACATGGCCCTGCCACCCCACATCCAACCATGGGGCCCCAGCTCCACAGATCCAACCACTGGGACCGTCCTGCCTGGGAGTCCACTGCCCCGCCACACCAGATCCAATCCCTGGGACCACAGCTCCCCAGATCCAACCACTGGGACCGTCCCAACTGGTACTCCACCACCCCAGCTCTAACCGCTGGGACCTCCACTCCCCACAGCGCCAGATCCAACCACTGGGACCCCAGCTCGCCACCACACCTAATCCATCCTGGGAACACCCTGACTGAGCTCCCCCTCCCCCCCACATGACAAACCAGATCAACGCATCAGGACCATCCAGGCTACTTCCCCAGCTCCCGCCAATGGTCCAGTCTCAGTGGCCAATACTTGTTGATTCAGAGGAAGAAAAAATAACGCCCCAGAGCAATTGTACACGTACAGGCACAGGGGTGACCAGTTCAGGTACCCGGATCCTATCACGCGGGGCCCGAGTGAATACCTGGAGAGAAGACAGCCCTGGAGATGGGATGAACTCCCATCATGAAATGTGATTACTTGCTAGAACAGGGCTTAGAAGGGCGGGCATGATGCACCACCAGCCCTAATCAATGATACCCAGCTAGTGTGTGACCCACAGCTGCTCATGTGAGCGGGGCCCTCTTTACCCTCTTTAAACATCCGGACCCCGGAGCGGTTCCTGTCCAGCTTCGAGTCAGCCGGCGTCATCAGCGTAGTGCTGGGCACCAGGGTAACATAGGGCTGGTCCAGCGCCCAGGAGGAGCGCCCCACATCCACCTGGAGGAAGGCACAGCCACAGTTCCCTGCGGGTGGAGGGGCATAGGTCAGGCCCAGTCGGAGCAGCTGAACCTCCCTCAGCTCTGATCAGCCAGATCTGGGCACTGATACCGGAGCCCCAAAGAGCTGGCTGGGGAGCCACCCGGCGCAATGGGAAGCAAGCAGGCCTGTTCACTCTCTGCGGGGAGCACCCACAAGAGGCCCGCCAGGCATCAGCCGCAATGGCGGCTTTGAGGAGGGATGTTGTTCTAATCTGCACCCCAGGGACCTGTATCCCGGCATGTGACAGAGACTGACCCATTGGCACGAGATATGGGGTGAGCATTTTGCTAACTGGGAGAGACTTTTTCCTTGTGGCCAGCTAGTTAGAAAGGGGACTAGCAGTCAGGCGATTTCCCAGCCCTGCCACTGTCTCACTTGGGCAAGTCACCTCCCCTCACTGTGCCTCAGTTTCTCCATCAGTAAAACAGGGACAGCTGTGACAAGAGACAAGTGCACAGTGTTACCATGGTAGTATGGGGAAGTAGCTAGAAACCTCTGGATTCCTCGGAAGACAAGCCCTTCATGCGTAGAGACAAGCATGGTGGCGTTGCAGGAGACCCCAGAGAGATTTGCAGGTTAGACTGTCCCCAAGGGGTCGGGGGTCTCGGTTTCTCCCTCTCTCTTACCTACGTCTATGTAGCCAATAGGACTAGCCCGTTCCAGCTGCAGCTCCACTTTCAGCTGCCTGCTCTGATCCTGGGGGCAGCTCAGCCAAGGGTGAATGCCATCGTCGCGCAGCAGATTCTCCACTGGATACCTCGGGTCCTGCACCAAACCAGTGGTGAGGGGAGAAAGCAGAAGCACGGTGCTTAGTAGAGGGGTGGGGATAGAAGCAGGGGGGGTCAGCAATAGTTACTGTTCTCTAGTAATGATCTGAAAGCACATTACAGATTTTACAAAAGGGTTAGACCTTACCTACTGCTGAAATGCAGCCACTGCTGGGGTGAAGTGTGGTAGATGCCTACCAGCACACAGAAACATTATACAACAGTTTACGGCAGGAAGAATACTGTATCCAATTCACAACACTTTCCAGGCCAGATCCTCAGCTGGTGTAAAGTGGGGAAATCTGGATCTATGTCAGTTTATACCAAGGGAGGATCAGACCCTCAATTTCTATAAGGCATTCCATTCAAGGATCTCTCAGTACTAGGGTATGCAGCGTTCTGCAGCAAAATGTAGCACCCCCTCGTGTCCAATTAAAGAACTGCAATTGAAGATGAAAAGCATTATTATTACCTGAGAGGTGAAGGACACCACATGGTTGATTTTAACTGGAGCCATTTCTGATTCTTCAGAAAACTCCCAGCTGCCTGCTCCAAGGTTCCTCTGGGTTTCCCGGAAACACTCTCTCACTCCATCTGGTCCGTCAGCGTCTGGCAGAATCACAGACAGAATCTGGTTCTTTACAGAGATTGGAGCCGTTTCCACTTGGTCTCACTTTGGGCATGTTTGCCAAGGGCTGTGTTTTCGCAGCCAGCAATAAAAGTGGATTTGAATTTCACTGAACATTTATGATCCTCTCTCTGCTCTCACTGAAGGAGATGGATATTGTATATTACACTCTGTGCTGGCCAGACCAAGCCTCAACAACGCACAGTCAGAGGCCTGTTTGAATCCCCTGCGCCCTCCTTTCCACCAGATCAGAGGCCTTGTGTATATGGGAAAGATGCCCCAGTTTAACTTCAGGTGTGAATGTCATGACTGGATTAATCAATTCAGTACAAACCTCAGGATGGCAGCACCCAAGACAAGGGCACCGGGGTCCTGGGAAGGACACAGGGATCCGAAACGGCAAGGCGGATCACCGGCCTGCAGAGGGCGCTCCGGAGGCTGGATTGAGCTAATTCCCTGAGAGAGCAGCAGGAGGCGCCGCAGGAATGAGTCTGCGCACTGCTACAGGTGTCTAAATAAACAATAAGTGAAACTTCAGCAAGGAAAAAAATGACATCTAGGCTTTTCCACTAATGAGAAATTCATCCATGCACAGATTTAAGGATCGGTTAAAAAGCTTGTGAAAATAGTTAAAGAAGACAATTTTAATCTATTTCCCAGAGCAAATTCTACTTCTATGGGTTGTGGGAACCAATTCAATATAATCGTAACAAAAAAAAAATCTCAACTGTTACTTCTTCAGGGGGAAAAAGAAAAAAAGTCAGGTACAAATTACAGCATCTCTTTTCCATGGGAACCTGGAACAGACACAAACTCTCCTTTGCTTTCACATCACCCCTTATCCCCAACAGCCCTCCTGTGTACATGATCCCCAACCCCACATCCGCACATAATCCCCCACCCAACAACCCCAGCACAACACCTTACCACCCATCCCCTAGAAAGGTAAGATTTTGGATCCGTTCAGCTCTTCCCCTCCCAGCATCTCAAAAAGCTTTACAGCCTGACCAAACCCCTCCCGCCCACAACCCATCCAATCCCCACTTCCCAACCCCAAATTTCACCAAACCTACCCCGTTCTTCCCCCACTCCCCCCAAACCCCAACATCCTGCTTCCCTACTCCCAGACCCCTAGCCCTCCAGTGCCCTAGATCCCCCCCCCATCCCCGGCTGCCCCCAAACTCTCACGAGATAAATAAGCAACCTGGCTTTCAAAACAAGCCCCAAAACAGCCCAATCTCATTTCAAGACAAGCCCAATCCATTTCCGCTCGGCGACACCTAATGCCAACAAGCAAGCCCAAAACAAGCCAATCCCACTTTGGTTAAACAAGCCACAAACTTCAAAACGGGGTGTTTTTATAAAAATACCATAATTTATTTTTAGCATTAAAATGCACACAACAAAAAGGTACGTTGTAACTTGTAACCATTCTGCCAGATAGAGACTGCAGCAAACAGGGACAGGTTAAATATACAGGGCGGTTTTCTTCAAAAACTATAAATATATGTGTATAAAATAAAACATTTTGAGTGCATCTGAAGGATTTACAGAGAAACCCCCCCAACCCTTTAAGAGATTGGCGATGAGATTACTCCCGCTTTTCCGCAACCTCTGCCACCATGACCACCACACCACCCTTCCTCGTCACTGTATCCCTATCACTTCAGGCTGCTTGCTTTTGCTGCCTGGACTTGAATCACATATTTTTCATGATGTGCGGATGACAATGCTTGGGATTTTTGTTAGCCGGGGCATGTAGGAAACACCGCGGTGGCGGAGCAGAGGAACATGGCGGCGGCCACGCAGCTCACTGATGAGGCGCTGTTCTTGGAGCTCAGGCACTTCATCTTCTCCCCTGGGGCTGGTCACCGAGAGCAGCCACCCCGTCTACCTGAAGAAGCTGAAGAAACTGCAGGAGGATGAGCGGGCCGGAGCCCGTGGCGGTGCCAACAAGACCCAGAACAGTAACAACAACAACACGGGGGGCCAGCCCTCGGCTGCGGTGCCACTCTGGCCGCCCCAGCAGAAGATTCCTGGAGAGTCCTGAGAACATACTGTGGCATGCACTGTACTCTCATGACGTATCTATCTCCAGGGGAGCGGCTTTTGTGGCAAGGCAGGTCAAGATTCAGCATTGACAGTCCTAGGCAGCCCCGCCAGGTGACCCTCGGCAGAGAACCTTAATCTCGGTCTCATCCAATGATGACTCAGTCCTGCATCGCGTGTTCAGGCCCAAATGATCGGTGCTCTTCCGGTGGCAAGACTAAATATACAAAAAAAGCCTTTACCCAACAGCAATCCTTGCCTATTTTGTGAAAATACTGACCCACAGCTGAATTCCAGTGCACTATTCCATAATTATAACATCCGTTCAATGTTTCAATAAAGAATCTCGCTAAACAATCATGCTTACTAAAGAAAATCCTATACAAGCTTACATTTAGACAAACTTTGATGGCTAACTGGGTCGTTATTTTAACAAAATAACATTACTTCATAAGGTCTTTTCTTGGTGTGCAAATTGGAAAACATCATGTTGTTTGACCCAGGTACTTGATTTGCTTTTGTTTCCCCTTGCACTGGGAATCCATTTTAGCAAAGGCATTACTGAGTCCCAATCTTTAACATTAGTTTTAAATACCCTGGCCGCCCCACCAGGCACGTGCCTCCCGCCAGTTCAGTCGCCACCCCTGGCCGCCCCGCCAGGCAAGCCTCTGAGACAGCAGGACTTTTTCCCCCCAAGGTGTGCAGGAACCGCTTTGGTCCGGTGAATCATGAAGACCTGAGCCGGGAACAGAAGAACAAGCTACGGGAGCTCAGCAAGGATGAGTAGAGTGGTGGGACTCCAACTTCAGTTAAACGTCATCCTCGCTCTCTACATCATCTGTGGTGGGATCAGCTCCCTGTGTGTGGTACATTCCCATGGTAAAGCATTGAAGCATATCCTGGATTGGAATAAAATCCTTACAGCACAGCCCCCGTCATCTTAACTCGTACCGAATATGCAGTATACTGCTCTGAGCCAGGTGACCCATCCTGTTCCGGTGCTTGGATTTAATGTTCATCTGCGAGAACACTTGTTCCGCATCAGCATTACTGAGAGGCATGGCAAGTAGAGGGAGCGCAAACAGGGCTAGCTCTTTAAAGCACCATTCGCCGCTACAGTCCTCAAAGTTGTAGACCTCCACCCAGAACTGCTCTCCTTGTTTGTCATCTGTGTTCTTCCATTTCTGTCAGCTAATGGCTTGATACTGGTTATCAAAGGCCCCCAAGTCACCTTTGAAAATGTTTATCATTGAGATCTTCGCTACTTGAGGTTTTGCCAGAGACAGAATAACCAATGGACTGAACACCAACAGAGTTCCACAGATCGATATTCGCTGGTAGTCTGCACTGCACTTGTTTAGCTGCTTCAAGAATGAAGTCTCGGCATCTACTCTTTATACCGTCTTGAACAGCTTTGTCAAGCTTTGCGGCTCCTAGAGCTATGGTGAACATTACGCCGAAATTAACAACCAGTGGCTAGTGGCTGGCTGTGTCACTCAAATGGACTTCCAGGAGTTTAGCGTCCGATACAGGGATGCTCTTTGGAAACAATATTCTAGCTAAAAGACCCCAAAAGAAAGACAGGAGGGCGTCCAACATCTTGAAGGCATTACCACCAGATTCCAGTTGGAACAGTTTGTTGATTCTGGAGAATTCCTGCAGAATCAGTGTTAGAAACTGTAAATACAGTTTATTCACAGGGTCACAATACAGAACTTCTGCTTCATAGCATCACTGCTTATTTTTGCTCAGTTGGAAGTGTAGCTTCAACGCATCCCACTGATCCAGTATGCGCACACAACACTCGTGAATGGAAAGCCAAGTCATCGCTGACAGCTGAACAAGCTTCAGTGGCATGTTACCATGATTCATTACCTAGAATAGCTGTGCATATGCACGCTGTCTCTGGGGGCTGTGAGAGAACCAGCTGTAGGAAAGGGAGACTAAAAAAAACTCTAGATGCCATGGCAGCATTTCTACCGCTTTACTGGCACACAGCTGGATGGAGTGACATACGCATTTGATGAGACTGAGGCTGTCGTTCTTCTCGAGCAGATGCGTGTACATGGAATTTTTATGGCCAACCATGACGCTACAGCTGTCGGTCCCAATCCCAATACACCTGCTGAAATCTAGACCAACACTGACAAGAAACTGAAGCAGTGCTGTGGCAATAGCTTCAGCTGTTTCGCCTTCCAAACTGACTAGTCCCAAAAATATGGAGACAATCTTGCCTAAGGAGGGACTGAAGTACCGCTCTACAATGCAAAGCTTCTTTACTGCAACAATGTCTGTGCTCTCATCTATCACCAGTGATTACTGGAACTCACCAATGTCTTTGATGAGGTCGTAGAACATGCAGGGAGCAATAACATTGTTGATTCATGCCCTGCATTTCATGCGATGGAGGTGGATATCTTTTTCAAAAGCTGATCTGGCAAGCTCACTGAGGTGATCCACAAAGCTGTGTGGCAAGCAATGTAGCAAGCCAGTTTCAGCCCCGCTTGGTGCATCGTCGAGACTGAAAGTCTTGAGACAGTGAAATCAATATTTGTCAGGTGCATCACAGAAAATGGTTTTGTATTTGATTTATATTTCTCAGTTGCTGCATTTTGCACATGGTCTGCACAATGTGCATGGATTAGGGCTTTGCACTATCTGCAAAAAGCTTTTGCGTTGTCGCCAGTTGCAGGCTTCAGCCAGTCTTTAAATTCGTTTTCTTTTTCCCATTCCTTTCTGTATTTCTTTCCATACTTCGCCCATTTGCTTGTGCTTGGCTGCTGCTGCTCCATACTGCGCTCTTTCCTCTAGCATTGGATAAACCTCAAAATTGCGGACAAGACAGGCTAGCCTGGAACATGATGGGAATTGATGTGTCAAGTGGGTGGACCAGGCCAAGAATGTCCACGATTTTGGCCCCCACCAACACCCACAAACCATGCACATTACAAGGACTCTGTGAGGACCTTGGAGGGGTGGGGGGGGGGAAGCGTGACTTGTTGCATGCAGCATCATCTGCCCCCCCCCCCTTCTGGGGAGGCCTTTGTCTAAACTATTTCCCTGCGTGCTGCAGCACCCCACTTTTCAGTCTATAGTATATAGAGAAGTAGTATAAACAAGTCATTTCATTCATTGTATGTATGAAATAACTGTACTTTATACTGACGTCACTAGTGCTTTTTATGTACGCTGTTGTAAAACTAGGCAAATTTGTACATGAGTTGATGTACCCCCTGGAAGACCGCTGCGTACCCCCAGGGGTACATGTACCCCTTGTTGAACACCAGTGCTGTAAAGTGTCACTTAATAGTAACACGATAAGGTAAGTGTTGTAATTAAAAATGGTAAATGGACCACAGGGGCCCACCACGGCCCCCGAAAGTGGCCCTACACCTATGCCATCCCGAGCATGGCGCAGGCCACAGCACCGCGCTCCCCCACACAGCACGAGGTCTGTG